ATCATTCCCTAAGTTGCATCTAGAGAAATAGTTTTTTCGATGACGGGTGAGTTAGTATGTGAAAGTCAAAATATCCTGTAAATATCTTTATATATATACAATAAAGATATGTCATGCTAATCTGACTGTGGGTTAAAAAAAAAAAAAAAAAAAAAAAAAAAAAAAACATTGTATAATTGAAATTAGATTTTTAAAAGCTTATAATAAATTGGTTTTCCTAAAATATTCTTTCTTTTATAAAGAAAAAATTTAAAATATAAGTAAAATTTTTTATATTTATTAAAGTTTAATAATAAGTTATATTTTTTAAAATTATATAAGTTTTTTTTTTATAGTTAAGGCTAATTTTTTAATTTTCAAGAAAATTGTTCAAACAAAATTTTTTTAAGAAAATTAAAAATTTATAAAAAAAAACTTATTTTTATAATAATATTAAAAATTATTTAAAAATTTTTTATTATATTTAATTTAATAAAACTTATTTAAGTTAAATAAAAATTTAAATATTTATATTTAAATATTATAAAATTATTTTTATTTGGAACTAGTTTATAGTTTATATTATATTGTTTTTTTTTTAATATTTAATTAGCCAAAAAAAAAATATTCAATATATTGTCACTTGTATAATATTTGACAAAAAATAAACTATTTGACAAAAAAATGATATAAATAAATAAAAAATTATATAATTTAGTTAAAAACATTAAAAAAATTAGTATATTTATAATTTATTAACAATTTATCAAAAAATTTATTAATAATTTGTCAAATAATTTTTTAATTATTTATTATCAATTCAATAAAAGTTTGTCACAAAATTATTTATTAGCAATTCAATAAAAATTTGATATTAATTTATTAATAATTTGTCAAAAATTCATTAATAGTTTATTAATAATTCAACAACTATTCATAAAAATTATTTATATAAATTTATCAATTATTCATTAAAAATTTAACAACTATTTATTAAAAATTTATTAACTATTTATTAAAACTATTTATTAAAAATTCAATAATTATTTATTAGCAATAAAGTAATAAAATTAATAATTTATATACAAAAATTTTTTAAATTGAGGTTATATTTATAAATTACAAATAATACAAGCTATAATATAATATATAATATATAATTTATATTAATTAATTATGTATTATTATGTAAATAATATTAAATAATTTATAAATGAAAATAATTATTTTATAAATTTTACAAATTTTTATTAAATAATAAATAAATAGTTATTAAATTTTAAATAAATGGTTAATGAACTTTTAATAAATAGTTTTGATAAATAGTTATAGATTTTTTTAATAAATAGTTAACAAATTTTAAATGAATAGTTTTGATAAACAATTGATGAATTATTAATAAACTATTAACAAATTTTTACAAATTATTAATAAATTAATACCAAATTTTTATTTAATTACTAATAATAATTTTGTAATAAACTTTTATTAAATTGTTAATAAATAGACCTGTGGATCAATAGCATAGTGGTAGTGCTCCCAGGTCACAATTACAAGGTCTGTAGTTCAATACTACTTAAAAACCAAAATCAAAAATTATCCTTCTGATCAGGTTTTACCGGTTATCCTATAAAAGTCATACCCAATTATCCGGAACAAGTTCTAATCAGGTTAGGTTGCATGACGATGGGACTTCTGGCCTTCTGTCGATTAGGGGCTGAGATCTACAGTCATACTACTGGAAGGATTGCATAAAGAAAGGCTTTTGATCTAACCTATCATAAACACTCCACATCCATTCTGATCTGGCAACCTCTAGGATCCCCACTTACTTAGCTCAGGATATCCCAATCTGGTATTCCGCTTAATTGAAAAATTAGTCAATAGAAACTGATCTGATGCCACAGGTGGTGACAAAGAAGGAAAGTACCCTTCTGAGGTCTGAGCAAATGATATATCTGAGAATATTGGAGGGTGTTAAATATCCTGTTGGGTACACACAATAACTAGACTAGCTTAGTGAAATAACAAATAAAATTTATAAGCTCAATACTAACTAGCCTAGACTAGCCGTTGATGACTGTATATTAACCATCCAGCCTCTAGCTAGGTCTGTCCATTCACAGAGTGGTTGCAGGTTTATCTAGGACAAACTACGATAGGTTATCATTAAATTGCATAGATATAGAAATATATAGTTTATAGAAGATGATTAATGTAACTGCTGTAGAATTTAATTATCTGTCAAATTAAGTTAATTCTTTAATAAAGCTTGCATCTAATATCAATTGTGGTTTAAAAAAAAAAAAATTAAATTGTTAATAAATTTTTGCTAAATAGTTAATGAATTATTTGACAAATTGTTAATGAATTTTTTGACAATTTATTGTTAAACTTTTAATTGATGAATTTTTAATTGCCAAATTTTTTGATTGCTAAATTTTTTATTATTACTTTATTGTCAAAATAGTAATATATCAAATAATAGCAATAAAAAAGAATTTATAATATTTTTATTATTAAATTTAGCAATAATTTAACTACCAAATGACATAATTTCAACTAATGGTTTATTTATAGTTAAGTTTTATACTACATATATACTGTATTTTACTTATTAATCATAATTATGTAAACCTTTTTTTACATTTAAATAATATATAGTACTTTTTATAAAAATATTTTAATTAAGATTATTTATTAAGACAAAATTTTTATATTTTATTCTTTTATATTTTTTTAAATTAATATTTATTATACGATAATAGATTTTTTAATTTTTTAAAAAAAATTTTTCAAACAAATTTGGGACCACTATACTGTATATTGGAATAATAAAAAAAAAAAGTTTTATAGTATTTTTTTTTTTATTTCGTTATACTGTATATTTTGAATTATTGTTCTTAAAGAGTATAATTTTTATAGAAAATATTTTTTGAATAATTAAGATATTAAAATATATCATATACGATATACAGTATATTATTTTTTATGTTTCGAACCATTTATTTTAATCTCAAAGAATATAAATATAATTTAAGTTCGATTTATATACGATCTCAAGTTCTCTGTATATCATTGTCAGGACCAACGAAGACTGTATTTATAATACAAAGAGTATATAAAATATGTTTCGAATAATAATAAATAAATAATCCAATTTACGAATCATTTTGTTTAGAACTTTTATGCAAATTCCATAAGGTCTTATATCTTCGCCTTTGGGAGAAATCCAATACTCTGTCCCCACTTTCGTTTTATCTGCACTAATTCTTACCAAATTTTCGGGGTTTACTCGATTCTGAAAAACCATTTTGTAGCTCTCACCATTATGCGTAAACTCAGTGGCATATTGAGCCGCAATGTTAATATCCGGTGTAGAATATACTCCCTGACCAAACATGAATCTCTTTCCCTTGCTTAACAAATACCCAACATCAGCAATTGAACTAAAATTATGCTTCTCGGTACCATGGTAAGACACTGGCCATTCATTTAGTCTTGCACTAGTACAATTAGCTTGTCGGCAAGTACTACCTACCCCGAGCCAAATATTGTCTTCATATTTGTTTAATACCTTGAGAGCAATTCGATTCCAGCCCACTGGACGTTTATATTCGTATTGTCCGCGCATAAATATCCGATCATCATCATTAATATTTGTAAAATCATAGTCATATTTAGGGTCAAGAAAATCCTGAGAGATGAAGATACACTGGGGTATAGCTTCTTTTTTAAGGAAATGTACCATGTATAGAACTGATCCTTTTTGAATATTGTAGTCACCGAGTGACTTTCCATCTTCTAATTGATTACCATTAAAAGTCAACTTATCAGGGAGGATACCCCTTTGTTTATGAATACTTGTTTTCAATAGTTTGACAGTCGTGGCATTTTTAACATTAGCAATTATTACTTCATTGGTTAAAGTTTTAATAGATATCTGATAAATATCAACGCTTGAAGTAGAGGTCTTCTTAGGAACTCCGAGGGGACAACCAATTAAGTAAGATTGATGAAGATTTTTGATATCTAACTGTTTGGCATGGAGACTTCTTTTGTTGAACAATATATCGCTATTTATCGTTTTTCCGTCGTTTTTGGGGTTAGAGGTAGGTTCAGAGACGTTGGTGTTAGTAGGACCGCAAACTAAAAATTGGTGAAAGTCGCTCGTTTCCAATTGCTTATTTTCATTGTAATTTTTCAGGATGTTGACAAACTTGTCATCTGAAACAACATTTAGCCCAGATATGGCACTAAGGGCAGAAGATATAAGAACCAAGTTTCCTGACATTCTAATATTTCGTAAGTTAAGAACCCGTCTCGTTTGTTATTTCCAAGATGTCCTAAATATCCAGTATATGTGATTCGTGTCACAGCAACACTTCTTTTACTGGTGATGGTAACAATGATACTAGACATTTTCGTTTACAATGACTGTGGCTTATATTCCTTGCAGGGATGAGCAAAATGCGCATTTTTCAAAATTCCCGCGTATAATTATATCATGATACATAAGATATACAGTACACTGTGCATTATTATATTACAATATGATAATCTTTGTATAACTTGATCGATAAATTTTTTTTGATATATACAAATACAGTGATGGGCCTTTCTAGCAAAATCTGGAACTATTTTACCAAACTTGGGTGGGTTGATAATTATAAACAGTGTAATGAATCCATTGTTTGATGTGAAGGACATCTTAGAGTATGTAAGGAAAGACTTTTTCATCAAGCAACAATATTTTAATTCTGTGTTTCAACAGTCAAAAAATAGTTTAATAAGTAATTCAAGTATTTATTAGTCAAAAAAAAAATTATTCGGCATATTGCCACTCATGTAACATTTGGCAAAAAATAAACAATTTGGCAAAAAAATGATATAAATCTATATAATTTGACTATAAATATTATAAAAATTATTATATTAACAATTCATCAAAAAATTCATTAACAATTCATTAAATAATATATTAACTATTCAGCAAAAATTCATTAAAAGTTCATTACAAAATTATTTATTAGTAATTAAATAAAAATTTAGCATTAATTTATTAATTATTTATCAAAAATTCATCAAAAATTCATCAAAATTCATTAAAAATTTATTAATAGTTTATTAATAATTTGACAATTATTTATCAAAACTATTCATTAAAAATTTTAAAAATTATTTATTAAAAGTTTATTAACTATTTATTAAAAATTTAGCAACTATTTATTAGCAATAAAGTAAAAATTTGATAAATTTATGTGTAGATTTTTTTGAATTGGAGTTACCTTTATAAATTATAAATAATACAAACTATAATATAATATACAATATGTTATTTATATTGTTATAATTTAGTTAATTATATATAATTATGTAAATAATATCAAATAATTTATAAATATGAAGGATTTTTTTCACAAGTTTTATAAATTTTTGTTAAATAATAGATAAATATTTATCAAATTTTTAATAAATGGTAAATAAACTTTTAATGAATAGTTTTGATGAATAGTTGTTGAATTTTTAAAAAATAATTGATAAATTTTTAATGAATTGTTTACAAATTTTTAATAAATAGTTTTAAAGAATAGTTATCAAATTATTAATAAATTATTAATAAATTAATACTGAATTTTTATTAAATTGCTAATAAATAATTTTGTGACAAACTTTTAATGAATTTTTATTAAATAGTAATAAATTATTTGATGAATTGTTAATTAATTTTTTGATAGTTTATTATTAAACTTTTAATTGATAAATTTTTAATTGCCAAATTTTTGGATTGTCAAATTGTTTGATTGATACCTTATTATTAAAATGGTAATATACTGAGTGCCAGAATTAAAAAAAATTTGCCAATATTTTTATTATTAAATTTAATTAAATTCAACAATAATTAAGCTGCCAAATAATATAATTTCAACTAGTAATTATATCATCTCAAAAAATAAATATAAAAAATTATATCAATAGAATTCTCAATAAAACAAGATAACATAAATAATAATTTACTCAAATAGTTTTTTAATAAGAATTGTCTTTATCTTTATTATAATTGAGTTCAATTAATAATCTGTTTAAAAAATATAACCATCTTTAAATTGTCAAATAGAAAATAGCTTTTAACTATTTTATTAAAACAAGTATATAAAAATATTAAAAATAAAATAATTAAAATAATTAATAATATTGAATTTATTAGTATTATTTATAATAGCCAATAAGTAATATTTTATATTAATCTAAATAAATTATTTTATATTTATTAATTATTTTAAATAATTTAGGCCAAATTTAATATTTGAATATTAAACAAATTATCTTTTGATAATATCTAATTTAATTTTTATATCAATAAAATTTAATAAAATAGTAAAAATATTATAACAGAATTATATAATATTATAACAACATTAGATATTAAAAAATTATTAATTATTATAATAAATAATATTCAATTATAAAAAAATTATAACAAATTTTAAAAAATATATATCTAAATATTATTTTATGAAATACTTATCTTATAACTTAACCTATAGATCCATAGTGCAATAGTTAGCACTTCATAGGTCAGATCACAAGATATAGATTCAAATCCTCCAAGGGACTAATGTAATTCTCCTATACAAAAGCAGATAGGATCTGCATCTATTGGCCTAACCATAAATTAACTAATGTTTCCAAATATAGCTACTGGTCTATACGAAGATTGTGATTGGTCAAATATTTGAGATTGGGTAGAATCATCCCTGATATGACCGTATTATCCAATGGTAATAAGAAGAGTAGACTTCAAACTGGTAATGTACCTCTCAAAATGAAGTGCATAGCTATGTCAAGTTTCACAGACTTTACTATCAGGAGACCTTGATAATAAGAAGAAAAGCCGTAGACCACTCCAAAGAACTGAAAGAACCAGGGTTCAGGATACTGTAATCAATGGCCTGATAACTAGAATACTTTTAAGAAAAAATTGTTTCTCAAAAAATTAAAATAGATTTGCATGTTTTTTCAAATAAGTAATATTAGTATATAGCATTATATAGAATATATATATAGCTACTCATATATAGATAGATCTATTATAAACATTATATTTTTATTTTTTTATTTTAAAACTGACTTATCTCATGCCTTCTTCAATGCTTTATTAAGAAAAGATCATATTTAGCAACAATTGGGATAAATACTTTTCCATACTGTCTAAAGATTTACAGATCACTAGAGAAAAATAGAACAGGAAGCTATCTATTTTTATGACTCGATCTATGTCTAACCTAACCAGGATAAGGAAAATATATAATCGTCTAGTGTAAATACTTCTCTTTTAAAAACAAAGTGAATGATAAGTGAAATACATAAATTGTGCATTGCTTACCTATCCCCAAATTCAAAAATCAACACTATCTAGAGTACACTAATACATCTACCAATCGGCTTGTTGCCACCCACTGCAGGGCTTAACATGCCAGAACTTGCACAAAAGTCTCAACACTATCCGATATTAGAGATCTTTTGTATTAGTCTTGTGACTAGTCAGTGTTAAAAGAAAAAATTAAAACAGAGGGGAAAGGTTGAAAATATTTACAAGAAAATGGAATAGGGGAAGGAATGAAGGGATGCCTAATAACTACTCATCCACTCAACTTTGCCTCTGAAGATACTCAATCTATAGCCTTGACACTTCTGGAGTTAATAAGAGAGAAGAGATTACAGTTCATGTAATGTTTATCCATCTGCACAACTAGTCAGTAATTTATGATGGACCTAAGGTTCTTATAGAGCTTAGGAAATGCATTCATGTCCCAAGTCACATGTATCCTTGTTTATATTTTTGCTAACCATGGAGCAATCAATCCCAAACTTTAGTCAATCAATCTATCCAGAATCTGGTGTAACAGAAAATTCAGGGTCAAGCTAAAGTAGGCAAAATTTCTCAGAAAAATCAAGAAAACTGCTACACATTAAGAGAGAAGCCATTTTGCCTGTGGTAATGATGTCGTCTGCCTACTGGCTGATATGAAGTTGTTGGCCCAAACTTTTTCTTAGACTCTGGGACCTCTATAAGGAAGGGAGGGAGGATATTTTTTTATTTGATTTCTTCTTCCTAAAAAAGCTTTCTTGCCGTTAACTTCTTAGGTAGAGGGTTTGTGAAGAGGAAAGGTAAACAAAAAGAGTATCATATAATTACTGTCAAGCAAAGCAGGTGTTTTTAGAGAGAGTTTTGAAGTTTTATTACTCTCAAAACATATAGTTTTGGAGGAATGCTTCTTTGGAAGTGGTAATCAGGGATCTACGGGAAAGAGTTAGTGGTGTGTCACTATAAACATTATATGTACAATACTTATTGATATTTACAGTAACTCACTAGTTTATCATGTATGATACATAAGTGAACTGATCCATAATGTATACTGTTTACACTTGAGCAGGCATGAGCATATAATTAATAAAAAACATGACCCAATAGCACAGCTTCTCTATCAAACTATGGAATTAAGAACTCCCGACCATAGACAAACTTCACAAAAAACATTCCAACATATACAAAACAAACAAGTGTCATAGCTGCAAAGAGATAGAACATAATAACCACCTCTTCACCTGCATCTAACACAATGTTAACATCTATGAGAAAATCTACAGAAATATATATAGAGAACTCCACTATATAAAAAATAACAAATCCCTTCCAATAACACACAACAAAGTCAAGCTCAGCACCAAAAACGTAAATACACTTATCTTTAGAGAAGGTATTAGCAAGGCCCTAAATAACCTTATCATAGAAATAATAGGACACAAAAAACTGCTAGACACCCTCAAAAGTATCATGCAATACACTAGATTCCTTACTTTCAACATCTGACTCGACAGATACAGATGGATGCTACAATGGGAAAAGGAATAGGGAATAAACAAAACATCCATTAAATGAAAGAGAAAAAAAATACAACAGAAATCACACAAAAAAGAAAAAACAATAACAAAAAGGCCAAAACAAGCTGGCACCTGAACATAATAGATAATATTCTAAAAGGAATACACAACATCTTTGACATTTTCCAAATCAATGCTAATGTAGCCTAGGCATGTAGTTCCCAGCAAGAAGCAACAAGCCACAAGGGATTATCAAAATCAATTAGTTTTTAATATGTTAGTATAGGAAAATACATAAAGAAAAAAAGTTAGTAAACAGATTATTAATTTAAGTAATATGTATTATACTAAAATTAATAAAGTAGGCCTACTACACTTTAAATAAAAAAAAAATCTTATAACTTAAATTTATCTATTAAAAATATTATAAAATTAGAATATGTAAAAGATATTTTAATAAATTCAAACCTGTAGGCTATAGCACAGTGGTAGTGCTTCCAGGTCACAATCACAAGGTTCAAAGTTCAATACCACATGGGGGCCAAGTAAAAAATACCACATCACAATGAATTCAGTACTTCATTGGGTAACAGTAAAATATCATTGGATGTAGATCTGGTTATCTTACCAATAGCCAAAATGGAAGAATTTGCCACCACATTGTATCACTTGTAGCTGATCTTTATTGGATCAGGCTAGTCTACAGGTGTTGTGAGATGATTAGTATCTTATCAGTAATCTGATAAGGTGGAGGAGAACAAGGCTGATCTCGCAGTCAACCGGAATGAAGACTGGATTGGTGCCAGATACTTTGACAATCTTACCGATCACAAGAAGTTGCTGCAAGTCAAGAAGGTTAAAGTTCTGAAGAGAGTAAACATTGTACTGATGGGATGCTTAAAAGCATAGCCAGTTTCTGTGGCTTATCCTCAGGAGACCTTGATGAGAGGAGGAATCCACAGACCACACCAAAGTCCCAAATCTGAAAACAGGTTAGAGCAAACACAATAGTCTGATAACTAGATTACTCTATAAAAGTGTTCTGGGAAAAATTAAGAGAGCGTTGTGTGGTTTCCCTTAATGGACTAGTTAGTATATATAGTATGTAATATATTTATCATGTATAAAATCATCATATGTACAATATTATTTCTAAGTAAATAAAAACCACAGAGATTCAAATGACAAATCACACATCTCAATATCACACCACTCAACAAAAATGAACTTACGTTAGCATACAAAAATGTGATCACCAACTTCAATAGTAGAGAAGCAGTTCGTAACCACTTTAGAAATAAACAGATCATAGAGTGATCTAGTTTAAAGAGGAATCAGGACTTAATTCCATTCAGCAACGAGATAGACTGGGAAGTGACAGCAGATTACCTAACCTACAGAAAAATAATCACAGAACCAACAAACACAGAGAATCACCAATGAAAGACTTTCAAACTGAAGTCCTGGATGTTGGAACTGCCAATCATGGTTAAACTACATGCAAGAAGAAGGAATTAATATAGGTCCAGCAGATGCATTAGATGCAACATGACTAGGGAGAACCAAACACATATCTTCACATGCAAAGGGAACAAACTCAACTTCTACCTAGGTATACTAGAGATAATATCAACCTATCTCCAAAGTAGGAAAAAACAAAGCAAACTCTGGGTCCAGAGATGGATCAAGAAGGCTGAAAGGAACAGACAAAACACTTGGATCAACATAATAGCTAGGAGCCTAATTCCCAAGGACAATGCAAATTTGGTTCAAAACTGGACCAGGATTTTTAGGAAGAAGAAAGTCAAGCATATCCTTATAGAATACTTTGAAGAAATACAGAACCTTGCAAGGGAAACCTGGTTACAAAGATGCAAGGCAGTGAAAAATGGGAAAAATCTCAAGGGATCACTAAAACCAAAAAAAACGCAAAAGTAAAGTAAAGCCAGAACATACAAAAAGATTGTCTAGGGAAATTAACAAATGAAGTCAGTTTGAACTGAAAGAAAATCAAAACTCCCAAGTTCCTTTTTTTACAAAGACTCAAGGAAAATGACACTAACTTAGCTCAGGCAAGTTAGTTTTTCAAAAGGAAGGCAACAAGCCATGCAAATCTGCTTAGAGATCTGAATCAGAAGGTATCTTTTATAGTAATCCTATATATATACTAGTATAGTCTAATTCCTAGTTAGCTTTGAAATAGATAGAACAATGTAATATCTGAATAAATGCTAAATAAATATCAACTGGGGGCTAAGCCAGCTTTAAAGAAAATTTTTAATAAATTCAAAGCTTATTATTAAATATTTCAAAAATATACAATTTCTATAATAATTTTAAGTTATTATTACATAGTTAAGTATAAATTAAAATAAGATTATTTAATAGTTTGTTTAGACTCAAGTAAATATAACAAATTAGCTATTAGTTTGTAAATATATAAATTGATAATAATAACTAAAAAACTCTTTTAACTGATTTTCTATCCATATACAAAAAAGATGTTTATAAGAAATTTTTTATTTTTTTGTTAATAAAGTCTTAATGCTATCCTTAAATCAACTTGAAGTTTTACTTCAAAGATATTTCTAAATTTCCTTTTTTGTTTATATTTATCCTTAAATAAAACTTGGTTTCTTGTGACCTAGAAAAGTCAAGAAATATCTTTTCTACTTACAACAAAAAAGTTCTACATGAAAGAAGAACTAATAATATAATACTCAAAGCCTTTTATATTAAAGCATGTTTATAAAGGTTTTGTGCAATAGGAGATAGAATTCATCAAGCCATCTTTTCAAAGTGTCTGTCCATTGTTTTTTTTCTTATATAATTATTAAACTTTTTTGATTTTCTAAAAAATTTTGCCTACTTCAGTTTGACTCTGAAATTTAGGTGATACAATCTATTGCAAAATATAATTGATGAATATAAAACATATTAATAGTTAAATATAAACAAGTTTTTACTGGTCACCTCACATGTTCCAATTATGTCATTAGTAATAAAAAGAGTTGGGTTAACATACTGTTAATTTATTCAATAACTTTCGAATAAGATAGATAGATGGGACAACTATAATATTACAAAAACTCTTTCTACTGATCCTCTGATCACACACAAAAAAGATGTTCACAAGAAGTTTTTACACTTCCTTGCTAATAAAGTCTTAATACTTTCCTTAAAACAACTTAAAGTATAATTTTAAGAGTCACTTCTACCCTTTCCCTATTGTCTACAAACCTTTTTACTCAAAAACTTGACTTCTAGTAATCAAGAAAAGTCAAGTAGTATCTTTGATACCAATGGCAAGAAAGTTCTCAAAGAAAGAAAAACTAATTGTGAAGTACCTGAAGATCTTTTTAACCTTTGAAGTGAAAGGTTTATAGAGGTTTTCTATAGTAAAAAGGCTTATTTTTTTCTTTTTTGACTGTCTTGGCCCTCTTAGAGCTCCCATGTTTATAGTTTTCTATGGAATTTTGCCTATTTTAATTTGACCCTGAATTTTGAGTAGCACAAATTCTTATCAAAGGTGATTGACTGACACAAAATATGTCAGTTTTGGAATGTAAACAAGCTCCTATTGGTTACATTCACAGTCTTGATACATCATTGGTTATGTAAAAAAGAAAGTTCTAGAAAAAATCTTCCCTTCAATCATATATGTTCAACCTTCAAAAAACAATTATGATACTGAAAGGTGAGTGATGGGTAGGAATAGAAGATCCAACTTCCATTTTTTATTAAGTTTCTCAGGTGGTGAAAAGGTTTTTTTGGACAAAAGCTTAGGTCTCCAAGCTTCTATCCTGGTTAGGCAAAGTTCATGAAAAGATTTCTTTATTCTAGTTAGGTAAACTCTTCCATAATATGGCTTCACTAGCAATAAGTGAATCTGTATATCAGCAAAAGAATAAGTTCCTCAAACATTCTTCTTAAAGTCACTTTTAGGAATGACTAAGTTTCTCAAATATCATGAAGCTTAGAGAATATCCTAATTAGGCAAATTTCTTTTAAGAGAAAACTGTGAAATAGAGTAAAAACCTTTTGGAGAGCTTTGAATTGTATTTCCCCTTTTCTTTTTTCCAGTGCTAACTTTAGCAATTCATTATTTTTTAGGATAATCAACAGTAACATACTGTTGGAAATGACCCTGATTGACTTAGATATACTATTGCCAAACTACTAGGAAAGTGAAATATTGTTCCTTAAATCTGACTTAGAGTACCTAGTTTAGACTTAGTTTTATTTAATCTAAACTAGCTTAGTGAACTCCTCATATTTTTTAAGTAGTGTAGTCCTTTAACTAATAATGTATAATGACAAGTTAGTCACTTTGTAAAAATCTGTAAAATATTTAGATATTTCTCAATATCAAAATAAAGATATGTCATTGCACATAATTGTGGATTAAAAAAAAAAAAAAGATGGAACAACTATAGCAATAATTCACTTTAAGTTGAAGAAGAATACCTTGATTGTAATATACTAAAGTTGTTAATTCAATGATATTAAAAATTATATAAACATATTGAAAGAGGCTTTAGATAATTTTATTTAATTGGAAGATTTATTAAAGATATATAATGTCAAGGATAAAAGAATTTAGTAGATAAAACCTTGGGTTAACTACTCTGGATAGCTGGCCTTTATAACATAATTGAATATTAATTATTTGGTAATCAAAATAAACAAATCTGCCAGATTTGCTTACTTGGATAACCTGCTAGTTAAATATAAATAAGATACTGTATGATAATAGAATAAGAAATTAACTAATGTGTACTACATAATTACTACTTTGTCCTAATAATTGAATCTATCCTATGAATCAATAAGATATACCTTATATTACATCTTTCATATGATCTAAAAATAGAACCAAAGTAATATAATAAACAAGAACTATAATAATAACTAAAGAGAAATATAACTATTAATTAAAACCAACATTTTCTCACTACTTAATAGTGGATTCCATAAATCAAGAATTCACAAGGAGTTGATATTCATAAAACTTTAACTTAGTAATTATAGTTAAAGTTATATACCTTGTTTTCCAAATTTATTCAATTCCAGACCTTTCAAAGAAACCATAAGTGTGATGACATTCAGTAAAATAATATTTAATCAAGTGTTTATTCAGATAGGATTGTTGTAATCAATTAACAATTCCTTTTAATAATTCTTCCAAATAATATGCATAGATCAAGAAGAGAATCCTATTTTTTATATGGATAGCATATTGCATACATCTATATATTTGCAAGATCTGATTATCAATGAGTTGAAATAAATCATAAGGTATTGGGATCACTTGCACAAATTTAGGAATTGTAGTCAAGAGATCCTTCAAAAATATGTTCTGAATAATAGTTATAGTAATTTTTTCATGAGTATGGTAATTTTTTTTAATGCAAACTAGTAGGCAGTGGGGCTTCTTATATAATTGTTAAGTAGTATAATTATCTATATTTCCCTATTTAATATAAAGATTTTCATTGATTTATCAGGTATTTTTTCTATTCCTTTTTCCATTATGCCTAAAAAAACCAGAGCTGTAAGATATAGAGACTTACTTACTTAGAAAGAATGAATCCTTTATAGGCAACTGTCATTACTTTTCAGAAAAGTGGCAAGTATTTTAAAAGGCAAATATATTATAGTGAATAGTTCCAGACTAATCTTTAAAAAGAAATCTATTAGTTGAAGGAAGAGATAGAGTGATTGATCTCCAGAAATTCTACTTCAATTAGGGTTAAAGAATTGGAGTTGAAAAATCAGAACTTGTGATAGAAAGTGATCAGGCTTAATATCCTGTTGATTCAGTTAGATGTTCCTATTACTGCTTCTTTAAATAGTACTTTTTTCTTGTTTGAGCTTTTGGATTTTTATTTTTCTTTTTCATATTTTCATTTGTTATCTTATAAGTACTTTACCTTGAGATCATACAGTAATTGCTGAGAGCCCTGAATCAGCTGTAATAGTAGTAAGAGCTCAGAGCCATCACTATTATATTGTATATTCCTCTTTTTAGTTTTCAATATATAGTAGATTTTCATTTTTTATAATCAAGATATGGTTTTAGCAAGGCCAAGTTAAGAAGAGCAGTTAGAACTTTTCTATATTTAATTCTAAGTTTAAAGACTCCATTTTTCAAGTTATTATGAATAAAGTAAGGTCCTTTTCATTTTGATTAAAGTTTTTTAGTAGAGTGTTTATTCCTGGTAATATCATAAACTAATACTTTATCTTCAATTTTAGAGTTTCTTGGCTTTTTCAACTTCAGATCAAATCTCTCCTTTTGTTTCCTTTAGGCTTTCGGAATATTTCCTTAGGTAGTTCCTTGAATAGTGGATAAGATTTTAGTCAATTAGTAAAGTAGGGTCAAGATATTTCCTTCTATTACTTTATCCATTTCTATATGGGGCATTTGAGGGTTGTATTCATAAACCAGATAAAAGAGGATAGATTGATGGAAGCTTGTTTTGATATGTGATAGATAAATAAAATTGATACAATAAATTCATCCCAATCTTTCTTTTCTTTAGTTATTTTTGCTAGAGATTCATATAAAGTTTGATATGGATAGAATAAATATATCTATTTGAAATTTTTTCAATAAAGCTTCAACTATTTTATTTCTAAAATATGTTTTATGATCAGAAAGTATATGTTTTAGGCATTCATGTTTGCAAATAATAACTTGATAAATAAAATCTGTAACTTGCTGTCCTATAGTATAGAAGATTACTTCAGTTTCAGGCCATTTGATAAAGTAGTCAGTTGTAATAATAATATTATAATAATATATTTGTTTCTCTTGCTTATGATTGGAAGGGGTCCCACAATATCAATTCCTATTTTGGAGAAAAGATCACTAACTGTAATTGGGTATAAGGGTCCAGGGGTCCTAAATTTGCCTCATTATTGATATTGGTCACAGATATTAATATAATACTTCACATTCTCAAACATTTGAGGCCAATAGTATTGATTATATAGTTTTTTAAAGACCTTGTTCACACCAATATAAGCACCAGTAGGATGGTTGTATAGTAAGTATAAGATTGAATCATGTTTTTGAATTATACAAAGTAATTAATTCCTTGTTTTTCTTTAATGATCTGTTTTGTAAAGTTAATTGTTTTTTACTTGATAATATTGTATTTTGGAAATAAGTTGTTTTTATTATTTGTTATCAAAAGTGTCAGGTAATTTGTTGTGTTAAAAATAGTTTTTGAGATGATAATAATGTTGAAATTCCATTTTAATAAGATAGGTTGT